TGAAGCTTAGTTAAAAATGAAATGATCTTTAAATGAAACCACTGATGAAGCTACAGTAATGTCTCTGATTCACGCCCCAGATTTTATACGGTCTCCCAAAGTTAGGAAGGATGGATGTACCTTTTCAAATTTATCATCTTAGATATGTAATAAATATTGCTATTCATTTCTATTCTGGACTCCGTGGCTTTAGCCAATTATTTTAATTTGTTCGTGGCCGTTTCAAATCTGTGTTGCATAAGAACTAACCGTTACTTAATACATGACCTACATGCTGAAAATAGTGAACAAACGTAAAATTTAAATTTTAGTAATGGTTAGATTTGAGTCGTTTATTTCTGAATCCAGTCAAGTTTTCAACGACACTCAAAGGAATCACTATATCACCAAGCGAACCTGCTAATACCTTTGCTTGCCTTTGTCGGCATGTATTTTTTTTTTCAATTTCCTGGATTATTCAAAAATCATATTTATTTCTACACAAACATTTATGGATGACTCGTTTCTCGAATGCAAACAAGGATCACACGCATAATATTTTTATCCCATCTTAACGGTTTAAAAGTGAAACTGAGAGAGAAAAAAAAAACTTGCGCCATGACTCACCAAAGAAAAGGAACGACTGCAGACAAGAGAGTTTGGAATGAATTCTTTTGAGCGTTTCGCCCGGGACATTTCAGATTTACATTTCAGTTTGATTAAAAGAACATCTGTAGCGATGCACCTTTCGCCGAGAGCAGTGCGATCATTAGTTGTGCTCTTTGGTAGTAGCAAATAATAGGCGAGGTTTACTTAAACAGCATTGTTTACGTCAAGTTACAATCGCAGGAATGGTTTCCAATTATCATAGGTACCAGTAATATTCAAGGATTAGGGCTTCATCCATGGTTTATGATGACATATATACATGTATTCTGTGTGCGAGAAAAGAAATTCAGTCACACGGTAAGGGTGAACAACCGTCACATTTCTAGTCACGAGATTTCGTCGTCATACAGAAAATCGACTATATACTCAAAATAAATCTGGACAAGAATGTAAAAGATATACAGGAGCAAGACCCGAATCCCTTAACAAGAGGCTTAGTAGTCCGCGGAAAGCTTTATCACTTATGAACTGGGTACACTCTCTAAAAATTTAATCAATTTACGTTTTCATGCACTAAATTTAGCTCTTCTTAAAACATGTGACATGTAATGTCACTCACCTTGCACATGAATAAGAGAGGCATTTGCAGGTATGAATACTTTTCTCGTGTGACCTATCATTTATTATCGTAATACATTTTAATAGCATTCTTATCAGTATTTTTTTTTTTTATCATAGCTATCAATACTATTGCAATCCTTATTCTTATAATCACCATTTTTATCACACATGCACGCCCGTATGTGCTTATATATGTGTGCATATAGGTATGTCTTAGGGACTATAATTTTACCCCCTTTTACAGCCTAGTCCGTCTTCCGACCAATTGATTTTTACAGGTTTCCCATATATTTCTTTTATAATTTGATAAAACTTAGAGGCGTACTGTAAGTCCACAAAACAATTAGACGACAACAGTATTTCACCATTTAACTCAGGATATAAAAGCAACCAAAGAGGAGTCTGTAGTCTGGTCGTCTGGGGAGTCGCATGGCGAGCGTCCCCGCAGAAGGTCTGGCCGAAGAGGAACCGCCTACTTGCCGAGCCTTTGCAGGGCGGCCCGGTACTGGTTGCTCTGGCGAGGCCGGAACATGTAGTCCACGCAGTAGAGGAACACCTCGTTGTGGAAACAGTTACTCCTGAAGGAAGGAATAATGTTATGTAGCTGCGCTGATAGGTTATAAGAAATGTGAAAAAGAATAATAACCATGAGATTATGAAATAAAAAATAAAGTACATCTTACACTCTATTTAGATTCTTTATGATTATTAAGGCTTTGCGGTCAAAAGGCGATGACATCAAAAGCTCCATTCATATCCAGCTTTAATTCAATATCAAATCACTTTTTGATTTTCCTTGTTATCTATTATATGAATAAATAATATACTTAAATCCTTCTATAACCATATAGTTAGTTGTTGACCTATAATCACAACACAACTGGTTTGGCTACTGCAAAATGATAAGTTACCTGCATTCTGCTGCCACCCCGACATCGCGGTAGAGGTTGTAGCAGTCTTCGCACACGCGGTCGAGCCTTACAAGGAGTTCGCGGTCGTAGACGCCCGTGCAAGAGCTGAAAGACAGGCTGCGTTTGTCTAAGGTGTGGGCTCCTGCGAGGGAAGTCACAGGAAAGGCTTGTGGGAAAGAATGTAGGAACGTCGGATTCTGATTTCCGTCGCCGGAGGTGGTGGCAGAGGCCAGAATTGCCACCAGCAGAGACAGCAGGATAGTTGCCCGCATCAGTCCAACGGCAACCATATCTTCAGAGACAACACAGAGCAAGAGCGACGACCAGCAACTTCCAGGCCCTTTCTCTGCACTAAGACATAAGCAGTCGAGCATCACCTTATATAAGTGGTCGTCGATAGTCAAAGAAACGTAGGATGTGAGATTGGAGACTTTTGAGAGAGACCTTATTTTCAAAGCCTTTGGTTTTCTGTTCAGTGAGGAGGGCCTGATCACCTCTTCGAACCCAGCCAGCTGTGCTGATTCACTGCTGTGTCTGAACTAACTCAGAAGAATGTATGTAGGAGATAAATGTTTCTCATGCAAACTTTTATCGTATATGACGCCACACAGTTCACTGATCATGTAGATAGATGTAAATACAGTGACGGGCATCGATACAGACTCTTGGCCAAAAAGATTCCACGACATCGATTCTTCGAAGATAGTACAAAAGATAGTGTATCGATACATATATATTCAATACTTCATTGCCGATAAATGATTGTAAGAAAATATCCAAACTGATTTGATTTGCATGTTTCATGAACTGCTAACAAGGATTTTAGCAAAAATGTAAGCCGTTCATTTATGACCAAGGGAAAGAGGCTTGGCTCCTTCACACTTCTTGATCGCCACCGTCGACAGCGTGAGAGAGAGGGAAATAAGACAGATATACAGATGCATAAATAGATATACAGAGTGAGAAAGAGAGAGAGAGATAGGGAAAGAGAAAGGGTAAATAACTGAGAGATCAAGAGAGACAAAGATAGAGAGAGTCAAATAGTGAGAGTCACATAGAGACAGAGGAAGGAAGGAAGACGTCTGTGGGCAGAAGGAGACCTGGTCCACACCAGTCTTTCCTCTACCTCGGAGGTGGGCCTCTATGCTTTTGTGATATGCAGTACTTTGGCGAGACAGGCGCTAGTCTCACTAAGCGTCTGTCTTGACATGAGTACACTGTATCCAGGGGAAAGAACAACAACGCCTTCTTTTGACATCAGTGGGACACAGGCCATCAGATGGATTGGTCAGCGGCGCGAATTGTCTTGCCTTCCGGTGATGTCCACGCCCGCAGACTGGTGGAACCTTCCCTAATCAAGCTGCCTAATTTCAACTTGAACTGCAGGTTTTCTCCTGCCGACAGTCTCCTCGCTTCCCACATCCTCCACTTTCTCCTTTATGCCAGCCACCTTGCGCCCATGTTACCGCGCTGCCTCTCTTCTCTCTCTTTTATACTCTCTTCTCTCCCTTTTCTCTTCAGACCTGAAGATGGAATAAAGTTGGATTTCGATTTTCATACATATAAATATATATGAATATATACATACACACACACACACACACATATATATATATCTGCGTGTGTGTGTATACAACTGTACACAACGAAGGGAAGCACGAGAAAACACACGAATATACCGAAAGTCTTTTCACTTTACTGCTTAATCAGGACATATTCGTGTGTTTTTCTTTACTTCCCTTCGTTCTACTTACAGTTTGTTCGACATGAATTTTACACACACACACACACATATGTGTGTGTAAACATGTATATATATATATATATATATATATATATATATATATATATATATATATATATTTTGGTATATATATATATATATGTATATCTAATAGTAAATATATAAATATATACAACATACACACACACATATACATACATGTATATATATCACACATACACCAATATTTATGTACAAATATATATATATATATATATATGTATGTATACATGTATATGTATATGTATATATATGTATATATATATATATACATATATATATATATATATATATATATATATATATATATATATATATATATATACATACACACACACACACACACACACACACATATATATATATATATATATACACATATGTATGTATGTATGTATACATATATAAATAAATATACCTATGTGTATTCATATATGTGTGTGTGTGTGTTCACACACACACACATATATGGATTTGACTTCACTCATGTATATGCACATCAAGTTAATAATTATGTTGTAAATGTATTGTATAGTCACTGTCAACTAAACTTGGTGAAATAACACTGCTAACGAACTTTCAAGAGGTGATCAATCCTCACCATTTCAACAAGGACTCCGAGATCAGACTTAAACAAAACATTTCGCCTGAAGCCTGTAGTCAACATTCGCTCATGTTTTGCTCGAACATCAAGAGCTGGTTTTATAAGACAACTTTCACTTGTTTCTAAGTCAGTGCAGAGGGAGAGCCTCGAAATCTATGGTTCTTGACGAGGAAGACTCAGTTCAGACGGACGCAACGCTAAACCGGAATCTGTAAACCTTGACTGCCGGAAGTGACTGTATTAATCCAATTGACACGTATGGCAAGAATATATGCCATGACCACTGTAATACAAGTTAATTTGTTGTGTTTACACATAGATGGCTCTACAAGTTCTTAATCGCCAAGGAGTCAGATATTAGTCCTACTGTGGTGACCAGCCCGCGGCAAGCTTCGGCGCTCCGTAGGACCTGACACACACCGTTTGGCGAGTTAGGGTCCAGTCACCACCACCAATCACCGCTTACCTCTCTACCTCTCCGACCTGACCAGGG